CACGCCGCAGAGCAAGCACGCGGCACCCGGGTGCTGCAGAGGGTGCGGGCACAAACCCCACCGGCCGCACCCCCACCCCTGCGGGGCTCTGGGGCAACGCTCCCGCTTGGAGCAGAGGGAGAACCAGCAGCCGGGGGTACCATTTCCAGCACAAACATGTTCAGAGGGCAGCTCCGCCCGGTGGGCTGCTGCTTTTGCTGTCTCTGTGAGCCCCGGGATGCACCGCAGGTGTACAACTCCAGCTCTGCCACCCTGAGGTCCTTTTCCCTCTAGCAGCCTCTTCTGCCCTCTTTCAAGCCCACTTTCATCACCAATCTCTTCCTGGCACCTCCAGTTTTCCTTGCCTTGCCCCCTGCCCGCCTGCTCACCAGCATCTGACAAACAGAGAGAAACCCATCTCTGGAGCTATACCGGTTTCAGGTGCCAGCGGCACAGCTGGGCTCTGCAGTCAGCCACGCACCGCTGCCAGGAGCCGTCCCAGAAGCAGAGCAGAAGGGTGCAGAGAAATCCAAAAAAAATCAGGGTCTAGTAGCCATAACACACAGTTGCATCCTCCTCCCAGCCCGGCCAAGGGATGGCAAAGAGCTGACGAGGACGACGGCCACTTACGCCAAGGCAAAAGCCACCAGCGCTCCCACCACCACGATGAAATCCAGGATGTTCCAGAGGTCTCGGAAGTAGGAGCCGTCCTGCAGGATCAAGCCCTGATCGATCATCTGTGGGGATGGAGGGAAAACGGTGAGAAAAACAGGCAGGGAACAAGCAGCTCAGCCGTTAAGTGGAAGTAGCCGCAGGCGGGATGTGCTGGGGACAGGGACAGCCCCGCAGACCAGGTGCATATCAAGGAGCATCATATTTTGTGAGCCTGGAGACTGATAAAAGTGGTGCTGAGCATCCTCAACTCCCACCGCTGAGAACCTGGCTTTAAAGTCTCCATCATCCAAATTTAGGACCAGAACCGAAAAACCGAGCTATTTCCCCCCCGCTGCACGGACGCTGCGGGACGCAGCATCCCCAGCGCAGCCAGCCCGCAAGGCCCCTCACCTTGATAACCATCTCGAAGGTGAAGACGCCGGTGAAGACATAGTCGAAATACCTCAGAACCTGCAGAGAGAGGGCATGGGTCTTCCGCAGCTGGCTCGCTGGCACCCCCCAGACCCCGTTACCACCCTGCACAGGGGCTCGCCTGGCTCAGGTGCAGACCGAGGGTAGGTTTGCTTGCCCCAAACCCAGCCTGGTCCCTAAGAGCTCAGGACAGCCATAAACCCAGCCTGCGCAGGCAGGAGAGAAACAATTCCCATGCGTGGTGCAAGCAGCTCTGAAATCATGCTGTGAGCCAGAATCATGCTCCCCCATACCAGCCCCACATCGGCATCTCCCCAGCTTAAGGGAGATCAGAGCTATTTCCAGGGTTTCTAAAGGAAGAGGATGGGGAAGAAGTCAGAAACCGCGGTATGGTGCAGATGCTGCCACCGGCTGCCCTGATCCATGTCCCACATGTGCCCCACCACGGAAGCTAAAATCCTACAGGACCTCTGCCTGCATTGCCCGCGGGGTGGGGGGAGCAGGGGAGGTTTGCAATCACTTTGTTGCGGTCGGAGTTGGTGAGGACGGGATCCTCCGCCGCGAGGGCGATGCTGCTGGCGGCGATCACCAGGAGGATGCACATCTCGAAGTAGCGCAGGTTCACGATGTAGTGGCAAGCCCTCCGCACCCTGCGGGGAGACAGCCCGCACCCCAACCTGTGAGCCCCCGGCATGCCCCAGGCGTGGCCCACGTGCAAAACCCACCCCACATCGCCGGCTTCCAGAGCATGGAAGATGGGCAGCAAAGGCTGAGGAGCAAAACGAGGGAGCCCACGGGTGGGTTGGGCTTGCTGACCTCTTTCCTTGGCTGTCCCAGCTCCCCAAGACACCCTACAGCCAGCCAGGGAGAGTCCCTGAGAAACTGGGGTGCTTATTCTTCCTGGCTGCCGGAGCTGGGCAGAGCTACAGGGGAGCAGAAAACTGCAGAAAAATGTAACAAGCATTGAACAAAAATCACAGCTAGCCATCAGCAGTCAGGAGAGAAAACCACGAGCGTGGCTGGCACAGAGGGAGAGCGCTGCCGGGGCTTGGGGAGCACCGTGGCTGGTTATCCAGGCTGTTTGGGAGATAATTCAGCCCCCTTCCCAAGGGGGACTCCCTGTTTTCAGTGATGTCTGGGGGTCCTTCCCCTTGCAGCCCTCCCCAGCCCCAGGCTCCTACGGTCCCAAAAATGTCTCACGGGTTGGTGGTGCTGAAGATGAACATGGAGCTGTGCGGCACCATCGCTTTGCCCGTCTCGCTTTTCTCCTTCTTCCGCTTCTTCTTCTCCATCTCCTCCTCATCCTCTTTGGTCTCGGCCTCCTTTAAGGGGCTGGCTTCGCCGTCTGTCTTGTTGCTAACTGCAGGAAAGCGAGAGCCTTTGCCCGGCCTTGCACCCAGACAGCACCCTGGGGTGTCCCTGCCAGCCGGGCACGTGCAACCCCCCCAGGTTTCTGCTTTGCATCCCCGTGCTGTTAAGGGGAGAGGGACCAGAAGGGAAGAAAAGACACGAGCTGCCGGGATGAAGCAGATAAAAGGGGTTTTAACCCCATTAAAGCACCAGCTTTCGTGGTGCTGTTTAATTAATAACGCTGTTTAAAGCGGCTCACCTTGACAGCAAAGATGCTGTAAAGGTCTGAGCAGCAGCGAGCTGGGCAGAGGCTGCGGACGCGTTCGGAGAAACGGGGGATGCGAGTGTTTTGCCCGGGGGGGAAGGAGGGATCAGGCAAAGGGGTGGGGGGGAAGGAGATGAGAAAGGGAGAAGCTCCCCAGGGGACAGCGGCACATCAGCATGGTGCTGGGGCTCCCCTGCAAAATGGGGGTGCTGGAGGGAGGTGCCGTAAGAAGCAGCAAGGAAAGCTTTCCCCCCCCGGCCCTGTTGATGGATGTGGTGCAAGCGGCTTTCCGTCCCACCCAGGGTCCGCGAGGGCCGGGGAGAGGGGCTCAGGAAAGAGAGACAGGTCCTCACTCTGTACCACAGCAGAGTCATGGACATCGATCATGATGGTGGTGCTCTCCATGGCCTTCTCGGTGTTGG